ACTGTATAATTTACGTTCTCTCTGACTTTGTTTAAGAGTTTGGTTTTGGTGCTCTGGGCCAGGTGTGGTAGTACATACCTGTAATCCTAGCACTTGGGAGACTGAGGCAGAAGGATCACAAATTAGAGGCCAACCTAGGCTACATAGCAAGACTGTATCTCAAAAAAGAAAAAAGAGTAAAGAGTTCCTCTTTCTCTACCTCCAAAAATATTTTTGTTTATTGTCTTTCTGGTAATAACCATTCTAACTAAGGTGAGATGATTTCATTGTAGTTTTGATTTGCATTTCCCTAATTAGTAGGTGGAACTTTTTTTTCACATGTTTATTGGCCATTTTATATATCTTTTGAGAAATGTCTATTCTGATCATTTGCTCATTATAAATCAGATTTATTGGATGGGAACATGGTTCAAGTGGTGAGGCACTAAGTTCACAGTTCCACCAAAAAAAGGAAAGAAAGGAAGAAACTAAATTATTACATATTCTGGATATTAATCCCTTCCTGATCAGTAGTTTGCAAATATTTTCTCCTATTCTGTAGGTTGTGTGTGGGCCTACACCTTGACATTCCACCAGCCCTTTTTTGTGATGGGTTTTTTCAAGATAGGGTCTTGGGAACTTGTACACAGGCTGGCTTTGAACTGTGATTCTCCTGATCTCTGCCTCCTAAGTAGCTAGGATTACAGGTGTGTGTGTGGAGGGGGGTGGTTGTTGTTTTGTTATGAGTGGTACTGGGGTTTGAATTCAGGGTCTCACACTTGCTAGGCAGACACTATACTACTTGAGGTCCACTTCCAGACTCTTTGGCTGTAGTTACTTTTCAAATAGGGTCTGGTGTTTATTTTTGGGCTAGCCTAAACTACAATCCTCCCCTGTGACTAGAATGACAGGTGTGTGTCAGCATGCCCACCTTTTTTGTTGAGGTGTGGTCTTGCTACCTTTTTTTGCCTGAATTGGTCTCCAACCACAGTTCTCCTGTTTTTGCCTCCTGAGCAGCTGGAATTACAGGTGTGAGCCACTTCTTCCAGCCTAAGTTGTCTCTTAACTGATTTTATTTCCTTTGCTGTGCAAAAGCTTCTTCATTGATAATCTCACTGTTCTAGTTTTGTTTTTGTTTTCTGTGGATTTAGGATCTTATCTTTAAAAAACCAAAACAAACATTTGTTTACATGTTTTTTGGGGGGTTTTTTTGCGTGTCTTTTTTTTTTTGTGGTACTGAGGTTTGAACTCAGGTCATACGTACACCTTGAACCACTTCACAGACATTTTTTGTGATGAGTTTTTTCAATATAGGGTCTTGCAAACTATTTTCCTTTGCTAGCTTCGAACCTCGATCTACCTGATCTCTGCTTCCTCAGTAGCTAGGATTATAGGCGTGAGCTACTGGCACATGGCCTATGTTTTCTTTTAGTAAGGATCTAGTTTCATTTTTCTGCTTATGTATATGCAGCACCATTTGTTGAAAACACTGTTGTTTCTCCAATGTATGTTTTTGACACCTTTGTCAAAAATCGGTTGGCCTTAAGTACCTGGACTAATTTCCGGGTTTTCTATTCTGTTCTATACTGGGCTTTGTATGTTTTTACCCCTGTATTAAGCTGTTTTAATCAGAACACTATAGTAATCACTACAGATTTGTAATATATTTTGAAGTTGGGTATTGTGATATGTTCAGCTTTGTTTGTTGTTATTTGTTTGTTTTTGCTCAAGATTGCATTAGCTATTTTGGGTCCTTTATGATTCCATATTAATTTTGTGACTGTTTTCTTAATTCTGTGAGGAATGCCATTGGTATTTTGATGGGTATTGTATTAAGTCTGTAAATTGCTTTTGGTAGTATGGACATTTTAACAATATTATTCTTCCAGTCCATGAGCATGGGATGTCTTTCCATTTTGTGTGTTGTGTCTTCTATGATTTCTTTCATCAGTTTTTTTTAAAATAATTTTGATTGTAGACATCTTTCACTTCCTTGGGTAAATTTATTCATAAGCATTTTATTTAAAAATATTGGATATTGTGAATTGGAGTGCTTCTTTAAATTTCTTTTTCAGCCAGTTTTCTATTGGTGAATAAAAATGCTATTTTCTGTGTGTTGACTTTTGCATCATGTAACTTTACTAAGTTTATCAGTCTCAGCAGTTTTTTGGTAGAGTCTAGGGTTTCCTGTGTACAAGATTCAATTATCTGTAAACAAGGATAACTTGATTTCTTTTTTACTTTAAATGCCCTTTATTTCTTTATCTTGTCTTATTGATCTGACAAAGTCTTATATACTATACTGAATAAGAGTCGTGAAAGTGGACATCTTTGTTTGATGCACCTTCAGCTTTTCCCCATTTAGCATGATGTTTGCTCTGATTTTTTCATATGTATGCTTTATTGTGTTCATTATTATTGGTTCATGTATGTTCAGCATCCTTGCATCCCTTGGATAAATCCCACTTGATCATGGTATATGATCTTTTCTGTGTGCTGTAGGGTTTGATTTGATAGTATTTTGTTGATAGTTTTTGCATATATGTTGTATTAATAGTTACTTTTGTGTCACTGTGAGGAAATTTGACAGAAACAACTTAAAAGAGGAAAGAAAAAGAGGGTTCAGTTCATGTTCACTTGGCCCCATGTGCCTGGGGCCAAGCGTTGCATCTTGGTGATGGGAACGTGTGGATAAGGCAGCAGTTTACTTCATGGCAGACGGGAGGCAGGAAGGGGAGGGGTGATGCAGAGAAGGGACCAAGACAATATATAGCCCTAAGGACATGTCCCATTGACCTACTTCTTACTGGTAGGCCCCACCTTCTGAAGTTTCCAGAACCTCCCTAAATAGCACCTCCAGTTGGAGACCAAGAATTTAACACATGAGCTTGTGGGGGTCATTTCACATTCAAACCATAAAATATGTTCTTCTGGAATATTAGTCTGTCGTTTTTGTTGTTGTTGTTAATGTCGTTGGTATCAGGGTAATGTCGGGCTCAGACAAGAACTCAACAGAGTTCTTTTGAGTTTTTTGAGAATAGTTTGAGAAGAATTGGTTTTAGTTCTTAATAAATGTTCTGTAGAATTGAACAGTATCTTTTTTCCATTTATTTTTTCTGCCATCTTGTAGCTAGTCCTGTTTCTCCTTAAACCACAGCCTATCTGGTGTTTTTCTTAACCTCAGGTGAAAGAATTTCTTTCTCCCTCCCCCATACACATACACCTTTAACCCACACTTAAAAGACATATGCATATGGAAAGCATGTGTATGTATATACATGCTTTGACTTAGCATCTGTTCTGACCCTTTTATTGTATTCTGTAATTTTTTTCTTACAAAGCCATTGTCAGACATTTTTAATTTCACTAATTAATAGGGGATGCAAGCTTGGGGCCAGTGTGTGCACCAACTCCCACTGTGAAAATTGTGTTAAATGCAGATGGCACTCTAACAGTTTGATAAACTGCTAAAAAGTCCTGCTGAAACAGTTAACCTGCTTTGAGACATTTCAGTTGGAAGTCTTGTATTACTGATTTTCTCTGTTTTGTATGTGGAAAGCCCTAATAAGCCCAAATACATAACAACCAATTTCTCTGTCAACCTCTGAAACCTTTATCACTGCCTTTCCTATGTTGCCTTATCTATACCACCTTGCCCAGTAAGGAACAATTGAGGGATAGTTGCAAGTACAGGGTGAGTTATAAGAAGAATCAGTTGAGTAAATCAAGTATTGTTCAGCTGTTCTTGAACTTATGATCTTTGTATTGTAAGGGTAAAGCTCTAGTTTTATAACTTACAGTTGAGTCTGATTGTAGAAGCCAGGCTCACACCTATAAGCCCAGCACTATGGAGGCTGAGGCAAGAGGATGAGAGAGTTCAAGGCCAGCCTGAGCTCCATAACAAGACCCTATCTCAAAAAATAAAAAATAAATACATAAATCTGACTGCAATGAAAATTTCTGTATAACAGATCTACTTTAGCTGTTAAAGTGGCAATATTGCGGGGATAGGGAGACAGCATATTTAGCTGTTAGCTGTCTCAAAATGTCAAACAGTTTCTCAGAATTTTTTTTTATATAGACTTAACCATAATCTGTAATCATTGGAAGCATTTTGGAAAATATTTTTTAAAAGATCACAAATAAAGGAGAGAATGTACAGAGAAAATCATTGATAACCTCTTGATAAATTTGTTTAATTTGTGTGTATTTGCCCAGTGTAATTAAGTATTCTGTTACTAATTGTTTTTTTAAACTACCATCCGAGGAGTCCATTTTTTAGGAAGAACTCTTTAACCAGATCACTATTATTCACAGACTTAGATTTTATAATCTTTATAATCTTTCAACATTGTGAATAAGGATGTTATAAACATCCTCAAGTATAAACCTGATACATAACTAAACTTGTAGAAGAAGCATTGCTGAGTCAGAAGGAAGACTTGTACATGTACTTCCAACCTTTGGGATAGATACCTATGCCCACTACTACCCAGAAAGGAAATTTGACCCACTTTATATTCAATGCCTGAATGCACAGCTTTGAAAAACAAGCATTTATAGTTTTCATATGGTGTTTCATTATTTAAAAAATGTAATTTAGGGAAAACAGATATAAGATTCCAGCTGGGAAGTTTAGTGAGGTTTTTTTTGTTTGTTTTCCCTCATAAGTTTCTTAGCTATTTGTGTATATTTTTATTTTCTGTTCTAAACATTTTCAACCTGTCCGATATTATACTAAAATGTCTCAAGAGTTGAGGCAATGTCCCTAACTTCTCTGTGACCATTAACAGTTAGCTAGAACATGGCTTTTCCTATAGAGAAAGTTATTTGAAGACTATGTATTAGGAATCAGGCAGTTTGGTGAGGAAGCTAGCCATTTGGCAAAGTCATTGGCTAACATAATATCTAGACACTTTTGAATTTTACTTAGTCTGTTTAAAAATGAAATACTTCAGTGTCCTTGGTAATTATGGTCAGGCTGGTATAATCAAATCATTAAAATTTTTATTGTCTTTCAGTATTAATTTTAAAGATCCGCAGTTTGCTGAAGATTACATTTTTAAAGCTGTAATGCTTCCAGGAGCAAGGTAACAGCAGTAAACTACTTAAGTTTATTTTGTCTGGATTATGTTCATCTCTATAACTAAATATTATATTTTCAAATGGTCAGAAAGCCAGCAGCAGTACTGAAACCTAGTGACTGGGAAAAATCTAGCAATGGACGCCAATGGAAGCCACAGCTTGGTTTTAACCGGGACCGGCGACCTGTCCACTTGGATCAGGCAGCCTTTAGGACTTTGGGGTGAGTCATACATTCCTATTCCTTATATATTTTCCTTTTTCTGAATCATCCCACAGAGAAGTCAGTATTTATGCTAGAAATATTGAAAAGAACATAAAATACAAGTCTTGTAGATAATTACTTTGATACTTCTCTGTTTTTCTCTATTTTTAGAAATTCACTTCTGTTTATGGATTGCTTTGTCTGTTGCGTGAGACAGTTTTTCCATCTTTCTAACACTTATTTCAAAGGAGTAAAATACTCTCTTTACCCTCAAGATAGTTTTAGCTGAATTGATCTATGGCAGAGAATCTGTGTAAAGTATTAACTAATACATTAGTACACAAAGTTACCAACCTCAAATTTTTCTTTACCCCAAGTGCTTAAACAGTGGTATCTATTTTATTGTTGCGTGAATTGGCATCTCCCTGTCTGCTAAGATATATTTGTTGACTTTTATTTCCTTTTTTATGTAAATTTCTGATTTTTATCTTGGCTTTATTAGCTACTGGGTTATCTTTTACCTAGCTACTATATAGAGGGTCCTTAAAGCAATAAAAGATAAAACTGGGATAGAAATATTAATGAGTCATGACTCAAGAATTAATCATAACTCATAAACAGGTTATTTCCAATTAGTGGGAACCTTAAGATTCAAAAAGTGATTTTGGCAGAAAGTTATCATTAACATGTAATTTATATTGTGAATAGTAGGAAGGACAATGTGGCATAAAGGTTGAGAATATGGGCTTTGGAGCTTAATGTCTGGATTCAGTGACATTTCTACCATTTAATATATTTGTGAAAGTTACTGAACTAATTTATGCCTCTGCTTCATTTTGTGTGAAATGGAGACAATAAGTAACACTGACCTCATGAAATTGTCAGAAGTAATGTCCTAATTTAGGAACTTAGGATAATTGCTAATTACTGTCATTCTTTTTGAAAGTCTTCATTCTTAATAGTAAAAGAAATACTAATTTGGAATAGTTTTAAGATATCTTTTTGCATTATTCCAACTATTTTAGGAAGTCATATTGAAATGCCTCTAAATAGGGGCCTATGTCCTGAAGATATTCTTAGTCTTTAATCCAAATTCTTCTTTCTTTGAGTTTTTCCTGAGAAGATAATTTTAAAAGAGCCTAAGTATTTCTGGTACATTGAAATGTATAATACTAGCTTAATGAGAGAAAACGTTTAGTGAATATGAGGCATCAACACAGTAAAATATTATATAGGTATACATATTATGAAGAGTAAAGAAAGATATAGGGCAATGTTTGGTACAGTAAACTGAAAATAAGATACAGAGTAGTAATATGTACAATGATAGTGACAGCATGGGTTCTTGAGGGAAAATCTACAATATGTAGAAAAAATGCTGGTGTTTTTCATAAGTAATTCAGTATTTAAAGAATTACCCAGTTAAGAACCATGGTGTGACAAATGAGCATTTACTATCACCATTGCCATGATGTACAGTTTTGAACTTCAATTATATACTTTGTTAATTATTACTATCAATCAGTTTTAACAGTAAAAAGATGGCTGCTAGCATTTGTTTAATTTGTGTCTACTTGATGTGATAGATTTATTTCTGTATATATTTTGTGTATCTCTCTATTTTTTATGCGTGTGGGGTTTTTTTTACAGCCATGTTATGCCAAGAGGCTCAGGAGCTGGCATTTACAGCAGTGCTGCACCACCACCTGGGACTTACCAGGGAAACTTATACAGGCCACTTTTGAGAGGACAGCAAGCCCAGATCCCAAAACTTATGTCCAGTAAGTTTTTACTAATTGGTTGTTTCATATTTTAAAGTAGGTATCAAGCACATGTAGGTTTCTAATCCTCATTGCTAAGAAGATTTATCGTAGCAGTGCAGAGACAGTGGACTTTAAAATATGTGAGTTGGAAGAATTATAAGACAGTACTTTATGCAAAATCAATTTTTTAAAAACATCTTGACTGTATATAGTTAATTGAATAAGATAAACTGCCTTTCCTCCTTATCTTTACTTATTAATCAGTTTCTTTGTTAACATATGTAGAAAGAAGTTCATGGAGTTCATTGGTGTTTATTCCATTATACAGGTATTGAATACTTATCAGGTGCAATAGATATGAAATTTCAACCACTTAGATACTAAAAGACTAAAGTATTCCTTTCTTGATCCAAATTGTATTGCAGTACTACCTAAGATAAAGCCAGGCATTGGTTTAGGTGTGAATGTACCACTTCTGTGAAGACCTTGGCCTTTCTTTAACACCTTACAACTTGTAGGTATTTCAGATTGCTAACCACAAAAATAACTAACATGTTTTTATTGTAATGTGAAAGGCAGAAAATAGTTGAATATCCACCCTGATTTTAATTATATTACCATTTATGTTATTTTTGAACTCCCTGGCTGTGCCCACTTATCAAGGAAGTATAAGTCATGTGTCAAGTTCTCAAAAACCACTGTCTTTATGAAGTCATTTTACTGGTTATCTGATTACTAACCAACCACAGGAGGGCAATACAGTGGAGAAAACACAGTGTGGCAAGATTCTAATATTTATTAAGTCTGAGAGTCATATGACTTTCAATCTGTTTTCTGCATGTTTGAAAGATTTTTATTAAAATTATATTTCAGAAAGGTGTGTGTGTGTGTGTGTGTGTGTGTTGGTGTGTGTGTCTGAGGATATGGATCAGTGGTAGAGCACTTTTCTGGCATGTACAAGGCCCTGCATTCTACCTGTACCACTACGGAGTGGGGGTGGGGGGTGCTAAAGTGCCACTATGAGCATGGTGAGATGCTATCATGAAAACTAAGGGCTTGGGCAGTTTTATTTTACTTTAGTAAAGCACAGAGGGAGTCCAGAGTACAGGGAGCCTTTGGAAATATTCATGGTACTTTCATAGCTGCTTTCCTTCTGAGATTTAGCAAATAACATATCTGAGGTTTCCCATATATTTATTATCAAGTCATACCACATACAATAGGAGAGTCTAATCACTTTGAAAGAGCTATCTGTGCCTTGAGATTTTACCAGTAAATAATGAGAACATACCCAGCTTAGTTTAAAAACCAACTGTTACCAACATGTTCTTTTTCTTTTCCCTAGACATATCAAACTTTATTTTTTTTTCTTTTATTATTCATATGTGCATACAAGGCTTGGGTCATTTCTCCCCTCTGCCCCCACCCCCTCCCTTACCACCCACTCTGCCCCCTCCCTCTCCCACCCACCCCCTCAATACCCAGCAGAAACTATTTTGCCCTTATTTCTAATTTTGTTGTAGAGAGAGTATAAGCAATAATAGGAAGGAACAAGGGTTTTTGCTGGTTGAGATAAGGATAGCTATACAGGGCATTGACTCACATTGACTTCCTGTGCTGTGTTACCTTCTAGGTTAATTCTTTTTGATCTAACCGTTCTCTAGTTCCTGGTACCAACATGTTCTTTATCAGCTCTCTTTTCCTCTTGCTCTTCCATTTACTTCTGTCCATAATGGTACCCAATTAGAAAAAGAATTAGCCAGTATTTCTCAAGATGATAGTTATAAGGAATTTCTGAGTTTACTGCATTGAGTAAACTTTGAAAGATCTGAAAAGAGGTTTGAGTAGCAAGGGTGAAAACATATGTTCACCATTAAGCTGCTTTCTTCTATCCCTTGTGTATTAGTTTACTTTGTATTACTTTAATGAAATAGCTGAAGCAGACTACATAGAAAGAAAAGAGGTTTATTTTGGCTCAGTTCTTGGAGGTACATGATCAAGGGTGATGACTTTCTTGCTGGTAGCATCCCAAAGTAGTGCAGGGCATCCTAAGGCAAGAAAACAAGGAACATTGTTTTTTCTCTTTCTTCTTATAAAGTCACCAGTATTCAATCATGAAGGTTCCACTCTAATCCTAATCACTCCCAGAGCACCCTCATCCAACACCACAGTCGATAGAAGTTTCCACCTTTTTTTAACTCGAGGTCTTACTATGTTGCCCAGGCTGTACTTACACTTGAACTCTTGGGCATAACTATGAAAATGAAAGGAGTGTTCAAAAATCATCTTGCATATTACTTTAGGAAATGTTTCCCTAGATCAGTGGTTCTCAACTTTTAGGGACTCATAGGCATGTAAATCTGTAATCGCAATGTTCCCACTCCCCAGAAAATTACTCAGTATAAGGTTCATGTAAACCTTGTTCCACAGTCTTTAGAGTCCATCCTGCAGGATCCTGCTATGGTAAGAGAAAGAAAGAAACCCAAGAGTTCTTTTGTCAGCATCACACCAGAGGTAGAGAATTTTACACTCTTAGGGTTCTACAATTCTATAGCTGTTGGTTGGTCTGTCTTTGGAAAAAGACAACTCTTGTTTGTCTACACCGGTATATTTCAAATGTTGATGTCCCCTCTCCATTGTTAGTATTTTGGGTAAATAGCTTTTCATTTTCCATTGTTGTAGCTGTTATTAGATATAAGTTAGTGTTTACTTTGTATTTATTTTTTCTTTCCTGTTTTAATGAGATATGTGTAGTGTCAGTTCTAAACTTTGTAAACATTGAAAATCCCTAATCCTGCCACCTTGAAGTCCTAAATTCCTGATTGAGAAGCACAAAAATCAGTGGTCATTCTATTCTGAATTAAATAGCATTAAGCATCACCTCAACTAACAGCATAAGTGCGTGTGCAACTTGTAGTTCGCATCATGTGCAGGAGAGTTGTTAAGAGAACATAGTCCTTGGCTTTACTCTTCACTCTTGACAACCCTGTGAACTTGGACAGGTTTTGGTCAGTGCTGGTTCCTGTTGCTGAAATGTTAGACAGTGTGAACACGTATTTTACAGAATTTCCCGGCTAAATTAGTTTCAGTTATTAAGCACTTAAAACAGTGCCTTACATATACTAAAGTACTATGCTGGTATTAAGTAAATGAAGTTCAGCTTTCCTTTTTATAGAATAATTTGGTCAGAAAGTTTTAGTAAAATTGAAATCTAATCAGTCTTTTAAAATGTTTTTAGTGTCATAAATATTTTCTCCATATATTATAAAATTATACTCAAAAGAGGCATTTGGTCAAACTGCCAATTCCTTATCGAGTGTCTACTGTTAGTGTTTCTTATTGTTAGTCTTTGATTTGTCTTTAATGTGTCAGTTTTTGGCTGATGAGCAGTTGTTCTGGTACTGATAACTTGTTGGAGTCAAGTACAGCCCTGAGTACTCAGTATGAATAAAGTATTTCATACTGTAGCCCAGAGAACCTGATATGTGACTTCTCTTCATTATGGTTGGTAAACTTATCAATTAGCTGCATTTGAAAAGTGATTTTGATTAGTGCAATCAGTAAACATAGAATCTTTCTGTGATTGCCATGCTGATTAGGTAAATTGTCACTTGAGAAGCTGTTGGCAAAGCCTTGGTTTATGTGGCCTTAGAGCTCTGGAAAAGAGATAAGTTTTTAAAGACCAAAGGAAAAAATTGTCATTTTTTTTCCTCTCGCTTGTACCTTCTGAAGTGCAATTCACTATCTCACAATTTTTTTCTCCCACTCAAATGGATTTTCCGTTAGAGCCATACAAATGAATGATAATAAGTTTGTTTTACCATCTACTTCATTACTTATCAGCCAGAAAATATTTCTGCTTTATGAATACTTAAGGACTATACATGTTACTGAGAGCCACATGCAGAAATTTGTTTAAAGGTAGCCTTGAAGTTTTTCTTCGCTCCTTTTTTTTTTTTTTTTGGATTGAAAGCAAGGAATGTTTTTAATAATTATATGATAGAATTTTTTTAAAGTTTTAGAAAATTTGCTTAGATTTTAACAAAATATATCTTTGCGTTATGGCTGAGTATATGTGCAAAAACATTGTTCTGGAGGTGAGAAACGGCAAATGCAAAACAGAGGGAAGCAGTGGACATAGTAAAAGTGGTGGAACGGGAGCTCTTGTTGCTATTTTCTAGCACTTGGAGGTAGATCATTAAAAAAAGTTCACCTTTCTCCCCCGCATTATGCTTAGTGAACTTTGCATTCCAGTTCTACTTGAAGTATTCTGCTTAATCTAACGTGAGGTGTTTGAATTGAATGCTTATGTATTGCTGGTAGTGATTGCTTTCCTTCCATTTGCACTGCTTCTAGGAGAAAATATGTACTTTTTTCTGCTTTTATTTTTCATAAAACATTAGGTTAAAAGTTTTGGAAGGTTTCTCTTAATATATGTATGTCTTTTCTTCTTTTGACTTTAACCATATGACAGATCCAGTAGAGAGCATGCATTCTGTGACTATAAAAAGACACCATAGAACCAGAATCACAGAATTAAGTCTTAATGATGAAAAGGAATGTATTTCCAGAGTGATCATGGTAATTTTGGAGCATGTGAATTTTTTTTGTCATATTAGCTAATTTTGTATATATAAAGGCACTAAAATACAAGAGTTCTGAGAACATTGTAACTGATTCTCACCAAATTAATTTTTGTACACCAATGAGCTTCAAGTTTAACAAACTAATTATTAGAGAAGGCACAAATGTTGATTTTTACTTTCAGTGAGTTGCTTTCTCATAAATAAGTTTATTGAAAATTACATATATTTAATAAATATCTTAGGTTTTCTCATAGAAAGAACCACACAAATGATTGCTGCTCCTTGTAAGAATTTCTGGATTTCATCTCTTCTAGTTGTGAATTTCTGGTAGTTTTTAGTCTTTAGTAGTGATTTACTTTGGGAGGACATTTCTTCTCACATTTTCTGTGGATTGCATGATAATTGGTTTCCTGAATTCCCACTCGGGTTTTGAACATGCATTACATATCCGATGAGCAGCGTGATGCTTCCTCAGGGTTAATTCTCAGTTTGACCGCTAGTAGTTTGATTTTTAAAAGATTAGAAAAAGGAATTTAATTCAAATTGACTAAAGGTACCACCTTTCTTTCAACTCAAAATGAGATTCTGCCTGGAAATAACAGTTGGGGAGGGCATGCTGCTCCTTTCTGAGAGTCATCTTGGGCTTGGCTGCTGAAACTTCATGCAAACAGCCACTTCCTTGTGGCCCACCACTCACATTCAGATGGAGAGGAAGCCCAGAGCAGAGGTAGCCAGTTGTGTTACAGTACAGTCATTATGAGCTGCTACAAACTTCATTCAATCCATGTTCTCCTTTGTGGGAGTCTAAAGCACAGTTCTAACTCCTCCCTTCCCTCCCACCTTTTTTTTTAAAACCCAGATTACCTTTTTTGGTTCTTAACCAGAGATAAGCTTTCATCATTCCTTTAGGAAAGTAATTTTGAAAAGCATGTTTCTAGTTTGTGTTTCCATTGAAATGTGAGCCTGAATACATTATGGTAAGCCTTGTTGTCCTTGGTCTCGGGAGTCTGGAGGAGGTTACTGTCCTTACACAGTGAACTCATTAGACAACTTGTAGAACCAGCTGTTTTAATTAGGTCACAGCAGACCTCACCAAAGGCAGAGAGGTGACTGCAAGGCTGGAGCCAGGAGCTGGGGTTGGTTGATACTGACCTCCTGATCTGTGGAATGAATATCCTGACTGGCCTGGCCAGCTGTTATGAGTTCTGTTCCTTCCCCCTGCTCCCCCCGACCCCAGGCCCCCCTGTCAATTTAATGGTCAGTTTATGTAGAAGAGCAGCAGCCATTTAATTGTTTCTTCTAGTTAGATGTTGCTAGTTCAGCTTTGTGTTAAAGGGGAAAGGTTTGGCTATCAGGAAACAATAGAAAAGTGGGTGGTCCCGTCTTTAACATGTCTTCCTGGTTTGTGTTGGAAAGATTGTGTGCTCTCTGCTTTGTTAGAGCAGTTTGCACATTTATGAGGAAAATTTCAGGATTTCTATTAAAGTTACATTTGTTCGATGTATATTTATCTTTATTCACACATACCTACAGTGGGTGAAACAGAAATGTGTGAGTTTAATGGCCAGCGTTCCCAAAGCTATGTTTTGTTAAGGAAAAATTAAAAAATTTGCTGATCCTCTTTAATTTTTATTAGTTGTGTGGGTGTGTGTGAGAGAGAGAGAGAGAGAGATTATGGTACTAGTTTACATTCTAAGATAATTTTTTTCTAGTAACTATTAATTATAACATGGGGGTAGGTGAATAGTGATTACTTTTTAAAATCTTCTATTAACCCTTCCCTGTTTCTTTTCCAGATATGAGGCCCCAGGATTCCTGGCGAGGCCCTCCTCCTCTTTTCCAGCAACAAAGATTTGACAGGTAATACTAAAGCAAACATGGCTTTAAATATTTTCCCACATCAACATTTGGGGATTGTTGGCTGCTTAGAAATCAGATACCCTTTCTTTCTCCCACCAAAACCAATTTTTTTCTTGCATCTGTCCTTTAGGGGAAATATGTATGTATGTATATATATATATATATATATATATATATGTCAGTTTGAATTAAATTATACTCATGTTTATATACTTTCTTTGGTTCTTGGCCTTTATTTTATTGAAGCTTTTGAGATACCCTGAAAAATGCAACACAGAGAGCTTAAAATTGTTGTTAGGTTTTAGTCAAGCTAAACAAATTTCTTTTTAGCAGGGTTGTGCAGCTTAATGAGGCATAACTAATGGTGTTCCACTTTATCATTTCTGTGCCGGCAATGCAGCATTAGTACAGACCAGCCATTGATTCTTGCTACAAACCTCTTGAAGTCCTAATCAGCTTCTTTGGTACAACTTTTTCAGAGCTGACAAGCCTATTGTAGGGCAGTGTCACTGTAGGTCAGTAGTTATTAGTTGCCACTGAAAACAGTTTCTTTAACTACTTAAGACTGAACTGAATTAAACGCAGAAGGGACTCAGAAGAGGATTATGGGATCTGCAGTCTAATAAGTACCATGGACTAGGAAGAATGTGACATGGTTTAATAACAGGGGATGTTTGACATGCGTTCTTTCATTGATAAGTTGTGTGCTTCTAAGTTAGATGGACTCTCCATGACAAGATAGCTAGGCATATTATGAATAATTATATTAGTATCTGTAGAATAATTTTTAAAGGGGAGCTAAATGTGTCATCTCATGCTAGTTTTACCAACATCAGTAAATGCAAAAATAAATGGAGCCCCATCTCAGTAACACTGCTTTTTTCACCTTCCCTTCCAATCCTGTTTTACCTTGCTATTTTAGCATTCTCTGATCTGTTCATATCTGAGTGCATAAAGCATATTTACAAATAGGTTTATAAATGCTGCTCTCCTGTTAAGAAAACTGTATCTAAAGACTCAAATTTCATTTTATTGTTTTTGTCGAGAAGATCAAAAGAATTATGTTAGTTAGTTTTTTATAGCATGAGCTACTTAATGCAAGGTATGCTTTAAATTTAATACGACTGATAATGTGTATGTTTATGTTTTGTTTTCAGTATGATTGCTCAGAGCACATGATATGTGCTGTTTCATTTTTGTCAAAGTAGCACCATTTTTAAGGAAGGAATAAATTTTTCTGAGTTATAGACTTAGTTTTAAGTAATTAGAACTCTATTAATAATTTTTCATGAACATGATTTCATATATTCCTCCCTGCAACCCTTTGAAGTAGTTCCTGTTATTTGTACAGTTTTACAGATGAAGAAACTGAGGTGCAAAGCTTACCTGAGGTCATTCTTTCATACTATTCTTTACCAAGACTTTTCACTAGACCAGAACTCCTCAGAATATTTACTCTGAGTGTAATACAAAGCCACAGGGACTTCAAAGGAAGTAAAGACTCTGCTCCACTTCTGAGGCGCTCTTTATTCAGTCTCAGCAGCTTTCCTTCTTCTGTACACATGAGGATCATCTTTATTCCTTTCCTTGCCCCGCTATTCATCATTTTTTTATTCTTAGTCTACCCTTCCAAGTGTTGATATTATCCTGACTAAGTTTTTGAACCTAGCAGGTTAGGGTTTTTTGTTTTTTGTTGTTGTTTGTTCATTTTTTTGTAGTACTGAAGATTGAACTCAGGGCCTTCCCTTGCTAAGCAAGTACTTTACCACCTGAGCCATGCCTCCAGTCCTTGTAGGTTATTTTTTTATTTAGTCTTAGGTACTGAAAACCATGTCTGAAAGCAGAAGCTAAGCATAAACATTAATAGAATTCTGTCTTTCAAGCCTTAAATCATGGTCATTTAAGAAATAATCATTTTAATGATGGGACATGGTACTGTGTACCATCATAGCTACATGGGAGGTGACAGATACAGGATTGCAGCCCCAGGCCAGCTGGCAGGGGGGTGATGGGGACATAAGACCCTACCCCAAAAATAACTAAAGCAAAAAAGGGCTGCGGATATGGTTCAAATGGTAGAATGCCTGCCTAGCAAGTATCAAGCCATGAGTTCAAACTCCAATACCAGCCATAAAAGAAAGGGAAAAGAAAGAAATACACCATTTTATTTTGAAAGAAACTGAATTCTGCTGTCTTAAGCTTCTCCATTAGCTAATAAGTAGGTATAGCTAATAAATAGGTATATAACATTATTTGTTTTTATAGCAGTAGCCAATCTAGTCATTCAGACTTTACGAGACACATAGAAAAGCTGTTTTGACTTTGCCAAGACGTTACAAGTAAGTAGTGGAATTATTATGAGAGCCAAGTTTTACTGATCCTTGGTTCAGTGTATTTTCACTACACTATTCCCAGTGTTTTTGAGAATCCTTTTAGAAAAGAAAACTGAATGTATCTTGTTTCCTAAATCATAGTGTGATTTTGTGAATTATTTCCTACTTTGGAATAGTATTTGTAATCTGTATATTCCTTTGATTAAAAAATGCAGCCAGAGACCAGGTGCTCATGTCTGTAATCATAGCTACTTGGGAGACTAAGATCAGAAGGATCGAGGTTCAAGGCCAGCCTGGGCAAATATAGTTCTCAAAACTCCATCTTCAAAATAACCACAGCAAAATGGGCTAGAGGTTTGACTCAAGCAGTAAAGTGCTTTGTAATTACAAAGCCCTGAGTTCAAATGTTAGTCACATCCAAAAAAATGCTGCTGGAGCCAAGCATGGTGGCATATATCTATAATCCCAGTAACTCAGGAAGCTAAGACAAGACTGTGAGTTCAAGGACAACCTGGGCTATATAGTGAGACCCTGTCTCAAAAACAAATAAATTAAAATACAATAGAAACATCCTCCCTTCTATTTCTCTACACGAAGACAGCCCTAGTGTTAATAATATCAGTACTATGCAAAGATGTCCCACATTTTGTTTCTTCTTGCCCTGTACAGGGCAGCATTTGTTTAGGTTTTAATCTGTGGCTGTTCAAATCAATTAATCATGTCAAATAGTCCAAAAACTGTGGTTAGCTATATGTATAAATTAAAACTGTCTAAAGTGGTAGACTTCACACTGTCGGCTACTTTCCAAAGCAGTAACACTAACTGCTTCAATAAAAGATGCCTAAGTTTATAGTTGCTAATTTTATTAAAAGGTCAGGTAGGTCAAGCTATGTGCTTCCATCTCAGGTGTTAAAAAACATATTTCCAAATTTCAGTTTGTTTGTATTGGTAAATTAATATAATTAATACAGAAATATGATTACCTTGTGGGGAGTAAAGACCTTTCTGGCAATAAACAGAAGAAGGTAGGTAGTACATGCCACTGTTACTTCTTTCTGTTTAATTTGCATTGCAAATGATTTTTATCATAAAAATTAATCTTTGTCAAAAATACTGTCACTGAACAGAAAGGAAAATTGTATTTTTACAATGTTGCTTTGTTCCTAATCTGTTATTATAACAAAATCTTTTAAAGTAGTTTTACAGTGTATATTACTCATGCCAACAGTTTTCCTGAAATGCAGTTGCATGCATTTGATCATTATAAGACCAAAAAGAAAAACTGATCACAGTTAATACAATGTGTAAGTTGCAATTTGGCTTATGACTTTTGTTTAAAAGGCCGTGTATTAATGAGTCTCCTTCGTCACGGTGCAAATCTTAACCCCTTACCAACCCTCACCTCTGCAGAGACCAGAGCTCTGCAAGACCTGTCTCTTGCTAAAACAGATGAGGCATTCTTGTCAGAACTTATTTGCACTACCAGTGAACCTGAAAATAATTATAAGCCCTAAATATATGCACTTTTTTCTGAGATACAGACTTTTAATTTTATTTTGAATCACAGCACATTATTAGTGCTCTAGTTTTGGCCACCCACTATAAAGTTATTCAGAGAGCTACTCTTAAGAAGGTAAGCCCCAAGTGAAAGGAAGAGAGAGGATGGGTTTAGGCTTAAATATATATAAGAAGAATATAGCCCCTAATGAGCCCAACTTCAGGCTCTTTATCCCTAAGATTTATTTTTTCCCTCTTAAGAAGCGAAAACCATATATGCTGGTTATAGCTCTTACTGGCTAGTCCAGTATCTTAGTGAATTTAAAGTTTTATTGAATTCTTCCGAACAGCACCAATGGCTCCAAAGTTTCTAATGCTGAAATACACTGGAGCATTTTGTTTCTCTGTTTATTCTAAAAGTTGAGGAAAGTGCTGGAGAGAGACTTACGTCTTTAATGGTGATCGGCTTTAGAAGGCCTATCTTTGCTACATTATATGACAGTTTTTAATTAAGTTATGATTGAATGCCTTCTACCTGTTGCTTTGCAAAATTAAAATAGGCACTTGAAGACAATTAAAACATTTCTTTCAACTAGTAATCTGGGAGAGCAAACTGGGTTATAATAGCTGTTGAATCTGTGTTCCCATGTAAACTGTACACCAAATGCCAGTCAGCCCATGCCAATTAGTGCTCATGTTGCTAGGTCACCATGGTCAATTGAAAGCTGCATCAATAGAACTTGAAAAGGTTTCCTCCCGATCAGACCTTGTGACATATTGAGCAGAATAATGGATGGGAAAAAACAGCCAAGTCCCCTACCCTGGATTCAAAATACTCAGCAGTAAGAATTCATTTGCAACCTACAATTAACTAGAAAGAATGGATTCCAAGAACAAGTCTGGACATTTTTTTAAAATAAAGCCTTATTCTCCTGTCTTGTACGTGTTTACTCTTTGGATAGCATCATAAATGTAGCCAACTTGGTGATCTTCAATTCAAATCTACAAATGACTGAAAAGGGAAATTTCACAATTAGAAATGAACGAAATATTTAAAAGTCAGACCTTCTGAATCAATTGATTTAAAACACCCTTTTAAATAAGTGCTAAACTGGGCATGAGGAACATAAAAGTCATTCTGATACTATATATTACATATGACAAATTCGGGCAAATTAGATTGTCCCAATATTTGGAGATGATACCTGCCTATCTGTTTTACTTTGTTCTGTAAAACAGGCTTGGGTTCTTATGCAAGCATGGTCTCTTTCCACAGGGGTGTTGGAGCTGAACCTCTGCTGCCATGGAACCGGATGCTCCAAAGTCAGAATGCAGCTTTTCAGCCAAACCAGTACCAGATGCTAGCCGGACCTGGTGGCTATCCACCCAGACGAGATGATCGTGGAGGGAGGCAGGTAATGCCGTGTGGGTTGTGAATGAATAGCATGCTCTTCATTTTGCATTTGAGCATTACTCTTCAGGATTCGGTATTTTCTTACCAATATTTCTGGAGAAGATAATTTACACCATAGTAACTCAGATGAACTTGTATCCATCATTAAAAAACGTATTTAAGGTAAGTAATTGTCTTACTAAACAGTACCCTGAAGATACCGAAGAATTTCCAGCCCAGAAGCCCTTTTTATCCATTGCAGTCCCTGATAATTAATACAGATGCAGTCAGTAACCAAAATACATTGGTTTTCCTTTAAGGATATTGTTCTCTAATAGAAACTAAATTGATCATAACAGTTGAATTTCCGGGAAGCTAAAAGGAAGAATCTTTATTCATCTTAGAAGTCTTCGAACTTGATTCATCACTGATATTCTTCCTCGTGGAAGGAAATTCCTCCTTGAAGACTTTCCATCTTTTTTTTTTTAACCAGAAATGTAAACAGCTATGTCATTGAATGAGTTCCATAATTCATAAATAAATTTAGTAGATGTAGGCTTCATTTTCTTCTCAATACCATCCACTTTTAGCAACATGTGAGATTGAGGTCTATTTAACATAATTTTCCCAGCAATTTGACCCCTTGGACAGTATTTACATGCTCTTTAATCAAGTCTTTGCTAGAGAATTAGGATTGGAATGCTGCAATTCAGAGTGTGTGGTGTTCATGGAGTTTGGCACCTGAAGTGGTTTTTAAATTGCTTACCTGGTGTTGCCTGCAGGCCTTTTTCAGTGCTTCACATATTAATTTTCTAATTTAGGTTCTTGCCATGTATCCCTTTTAATGTAAGAACTCTGACAACTAAGCAAAATCTTTCTTTACCCTTTTTAAATATATTTTTTCAAAAGTCTCTGTCAACTTTATAAGAAAGTAATCATCTTAGTTGCAAATAATTTTCCTTTTGAGAGGATTTCATTAAAATCATTTCATAGAATTTTACTTTGAATTTTTTCAGCCCAACACCTCTAAAAAGCTACACCAGTCAATTGAGGCTGTCTGTTGTACTAATGTGTAGATGGCACTAGGCAGTTTACACAACAACATTTTTGAAATGAGGACATCATTATAATTGGAAGAAACCTTAGAGAGTGGTCAGTCTAGACCTTATTTTCCAAGTCAGGAACTGAAACCGTATACAGTTTAGCAGCAGAGCTGGAGACTAGCTACCTGCACTGCTAACCCTAATTCATCTTCTAATTACCTTTTGTGGAGGAAATCTTCCCTTTCAAGGAACTCTGCTGTTACAGGAGGTTAAATTCTGTTTTACTTAGAAGATACAAACCAGTTGGTAAATTTATGATTCTTTTTGGTCTTTTGCAAATATGCTCATTCCTTTTTTTTTCTGTCTCATTTCCACTGAGATAGTTTTTATTAAATCACAATTATTGAAGCACTATTAAGTTGCAGTTCATTGTTATATAGAATCGTGCCTTCATTATATTTTTAGTGAAGTTTATGTGACCAAACAAGGCCTTAGCCTACATTGTGGCTTTGAGGGTCTTGTGTGTACTGTAATTAAACTACCAAAAGTGCTCTGAATGGCAGAATGGAGGGTTGGTTGTTCCATTTTAGAACCCTAGAGGACTATAAAGGGGTCTCCTGGTCCTTCTCTCCTCTCTCCTCTCCCCTCCTCCCCTCTCCCTTCTCATTTCTCTCTCCCCCCTTTTTCCCTTTCCCTCTTTCCTATTCCTCTCCCTCCCTTCATTCCTTACTCCTCCTTCCCTCTAGTCCTCCTTCTCCCCCTCCCTTCTTCTTCTTCCTTCCCTTCCTCTAAGCAAGCACTCCACCATTATGCTACATCTCCAGCCCCTAAAATCGGAAGGGTTGTAACATTTATCTTGTATATACAGAGATATCATTTGCAAACCTACTAGGACATGTTATAAATGTCACCACTTACTGGTTACAGAATAACCCTAATTTATGCTTAATGCATTACTATGTATTGCTAAACACAGATATATCCCTGAAATTAATTGTTCATTAGGACTTAGCTGACTATGCAAGCCTCTTGCCTTGATTAAACAAAAATTGCTTTCCTAGTGTAATGTGTTACAGATGATGTGGGTACTTTACCACAAAGTGACTTGGATTGTTTAGAATGGTAGAAAAATTGAGAACCACTGTCTATACATATTGTTTACAGAAAACATTTCACTTTAGTTCATTTGTGTGCATTTTAGGGAATTTCGTAGGTGTGGTTGTTAAGGCTTGTTTGACCAGTTTTCAGCAATAGCCTCTGCACTAGTCTTCATCTTTGCAACAAGCTGTAGTAAAGCTCTGAATTCGAAGTATCTATTTATGGAGACTTTCCATTTGCAGTATGTTAAGACATACTTGGCTTTCTTATGAGGTGCTTTTCCAGAGATGTAAAAATCAATTTCTTTGCAAGGATATTAATCCAGAAGACAAACTCTTTCTTTTGTTTATTTTCAGGGATATCCCAGAGAAGGAAGAAAATACCCTTTACCACCACCCTCAGGAAGATACAGTTGGAATTAAGCTTTTGTAAAGCTTTCTCAAATCCTTTCATCATTCTACAGTTTTATGCTATTTGTGGAAAGGAGATTTCTTTCTCAAGTAGTAGTTTTTAATAAAACTACAGTACTTTTTGTGTATTTCTTTTAACTGTGTATATTTCTACTGATCTGATCTCACTGTTTTATGTTGCTTTCCAAAGATGTGTGTTGCATAATACAGTGAATCTGAATTTATTATTGCTTGTAAACAAATTGAACAGAATTAGGAGTACTGTTTTTTTCATTATGGTTAAAAATTGTACCAGCTGTGAATTTCAAAACACAGTGTATTCTAGATCATCTAAGATCCATGCTGATTTTTAATGTGCAAGAATTAGGTATGAACATTTGAGCTGGAACCCTCAATAAATTAGAGTATATATTGTTCAATATTTCAGAAACATTTCATTAATGTACTTGTCTTACAGAAATTTCTGAACTTCAGTAAAAAAAAGAATAAAAATAAACTTTAAGAACACTGGTCTCTTGTGTTATTCTTTCACAATGTTTTAACTGAATCTCCCCCCTTCCCCTCCCAATGGGGTTTGAACTCAGGGTTTTGCACTTAGCTGCACTTCCAACCCTTAATTTTGAGGTACAGTCTCACTTTTTGTCCAGACTATTTATGCTTCCCCCAGTTAACTGGGATGACAGTTGCACAACACCACTCTTAGCCTTTTCTGTTGAAATGGGGTCTTGTGAACGTTTTGCTTAGGCTGGCCTGGAACCATGATTCACCCTGTCTTTAGCCTCCTGAATAGTTGGGAGGATAGGCACACACCCCAGCACCCAGCTGTTGGATGAGGTGGGGTCTTGAGAACATTTTGCCCAGGTTGGCCTCAGAACTGAGATCCTCCTGAGTAACTAGGATTACAGATGTGAACCACTGACACCCAGCCATCACCTGAAAATCTTGAGTAAGCATTGTTTTGGGTAGTATTAGTGTTCGAACTCAGGACCTTGTGCTTGCTAGGCAAGTACTCTACCACTTGAGCCATGCCTTCCCCCAGCATTTTTGCTTTAATTTTTCATGTAAGGTCATAGTCTTTTTCTCCCTTACCTGCCTTGGATTGTGATCCTCCTCACTCCACCTCCCAATTAGCCTGGGATTACAGTGATGTGCCACTGTATCCGGCCTAAGCATAGTTTTTATAAAACAACTTTTGCAGAAGATAATTCATTTTCACAATTAGGTTCCAAAGCAAGTTAATGAAGTAGATTTTAAGCAGATATGATCAAGACAAAAGCTTTATTAGTATGTTACTGATGAAGTCTTTGTGAGAATAAGTTTACATTTTCAAAAAGTTCACATAGATTCATGTTAAGGACTTGTTCTTAATCTTAGAAAATTTTAATTCATAGCTAAATAGTCTACTCAGCATGTTTTTCAATGTTATTTCACAGTAGAGTTCAAATTATGCCCATTTTTCCCTCTGCACAATTAAGCATACTATAATTTCTTTTAAGAAACACATTTATGTGCTTGGAGTTCACACATACCACCTTCATAGGCATTTTCATTTGATTACCAAAACAGACAACACATTCAAAGATTTGTCTCAATTTTTCCATTGTATCCTAAGATTGTAAGATATTTCTCTTTGACATTCTGGCATTTTTGTACTAATAGTCAACTAAAGCACTCTTACTAATCTTAGCTTATGTGGAAAAAAAAAAATCCAGCCTTACCCTTGAATAGGAAGGTATTTTGAAGCTGTTGTGTTCATGACTGATAATGGGTGCATAGAGCAGGATTCTTTTATTTTTGAGACAAAACATCTCCATTAGGAATTGCCAACAACCATTATATTACATCATTACTTTAAAATGATAATGCCTTCTATTAAATTTCTCTGTAGCTTCCAAATGTTAAAAACGCATAGCCATCCAAATAAAAGTGTTGCATATTCCAAAGGAGCCCCTAAGTGTCTTACTGTGTATAGCTTCATAGGAACCTCAAACCTACACTTGTCTAGCCTTTTATTTTCCCAGACCTTTAGTTTTGGTATGGTTTTAAACCTTCATGAGGCCGTCGTTAAAGTAATTCAGATTTTGACTGTCTTAAAAGTGTTGTTTTGAAGACTAAGGAAAAATGATGAAGCTAGATTCTGTCTTCAGAACAGGTGAGTGTGCCCCAAGGGCGTTTGCCCAGCTCATTGAACCCTGAGCCCTAGGGTGCTGCTCTGTTGCTTCACCCTTGTTCCTTCTCTCCTTATTCTCTGGTCTCTTTCCAACTTGTCCCCACGTTTAAATCTTTCGGGGGTGGGGGAGGGGAGGGAAGCCATGTTTCAACTAAAACACTCTGGAGCTTTAAAGTGGAATATTTAAGAGTTACATCTCCTCAAAATTCGAATGTCAAAGTCAACCGGCCAATTTTAAGCATCTAGTTGTATATTGTCTTTAAATAGGGCACATTTTTTTCCAGTCTCACAAAGACTTTTTAAAATCTTAGAACCCGGTGACAGGCTGACTACTGTGGCACTAAGGGCCGGTAGTGAGCAGCTGTCTTCCCTTTAAAGATCAAATGGGGTAATGTATGTTAAAGTACAAAGCCCCATGCAAACTGGTATCAGATTGCCATTGAACGTTACAAAGACAAGTTGGGTGTAATGACCAATAGGTTAATTTTCCTTCGATGATGTGCGACGTCAGGAACAGGCCGGGGTGGGGCTGGAAGTCCCGCCATCGCTTTTTTTTCCCCCTTGCTGGGCTCCTTGAATGGAAGCCGGGGGCACCGAGGCTGAGCTATGGGGTGCAGAGGTGCAGAGACTTCGCAGCAGGGTACCGGACGGGGGCTGTGCTTGGGAGCCCGCGGCAGGACCGCAGAGTCAAGGTCATGCTAGGTAGACCAATTCTCTCCGGATCCGTCGTGTGCGTGTGGGGCGCGTGCCCTGCGCCCGTAGCGCGGCGCTCACCGCGCTCCCCCGGCGCCCCGCCGTCCGGGTCGCGAGACCCCGAGGCCAACCAAGCCCCGCGAGCTGACCGCGTGGAGTAGGGTGGGCTCGGTAAAGCTCAGATCTCCGACCCGCGCCCGCCGCAGCTTCTTAACCAGCCCGGTTTCATCAGCTCAACTCCCTGTCCAAGTGCAAGCGCCGAACCTGTAAGAAAATAACGGAAATGTTTCCGCCCCCACCCCCACCCCCGAGGCTGCAGTTTTAAGTTCCAAGTCTGAGTGAAACCAAATTCAGCTAGGCTTAGAAATTTAAAATCTAGACAGTCCCTTAAGTCAATTTATCCCCAGTCCCACATCGCAGAGAGGCTGTCTAGCTCCGTCCCAATCATCAGGCACCTCCTGCCCACCTCAAAAGAGTAAGGGAACTGAGATCCCGCCAGACTTTATTCCTGGTGATCCAGTGCTCTGTTTCTAACCAGGAAAAAAGTCAACTGAACAATGAGCTAGCAAACGGCCCGTTCTCCGGGCATGTTTCACTCAGGGTTAAGTCCATGGTGCCATGTTTCCCTGTACTCTATGGAACGAAGATGAACAGAGAGGAGACTTTAACTTGTGTGTGTGTGAAATGGGACTAGAGCTGTTCAGTACTGAAAAATAGTTTGCACAGCTTAAGTTTAGGCAATGTTAGTGGTTAGACTGTTATTAGAAGTTACCTAAACAATTACTGAAACCAGAGGTTACATCGAATTTTTTAAAAGACATTTTATTCAATGTCAGGTAAACATTCTAAAGCAAAAGCAAGGAAGCAAGCAAACAACAACAAAAAAATCTTCTCCCAGAACTTCAAAAATAATAATAGTGACGTTGAAATCACAGAGGGATCTCAATACTTACGGGAGAAAGCTACCTCCTGACAGGATGCAGATGCAATTGCCAGTTTGGCATCTTCATTGAAATTTGCCCAGATGTTCACCAGTTCTATCAGAAACAAGCTACTTATGTTTTATAAAATGTGTCTGAGTTCCCTGTCTCACTGGGTTTAGAGATGGCAAGTAACATCGTCTCAAAACTGGATTCAAATACTTCACATACAGTGTTTTATCCACAGACGTTAGTGTTACCTGGAACCTTGGAGAATAGACCTGCACCTGGAATTTATGTTGCCACCACATAATGCATGATTGACTTATGACAAATTTGTATCTAAAAATCCAATCTATGCGTCTTTTTACTTTAAATTAGGGTTCACAAATTTATTTGCAAAGTCCTTCTAAGCCATCACTATTTAGAGCAGTTAACAAAGCAAGTCTTGGAAGGTGCCTGTATTTAGTGAACTCCTCAATCTCTGATTTGCTTTAAATTGAAAGTAAACAGTCACTAGCTAAATGGAATTTAAACATTGACTACTTGTTCTGACCTTTAGGTTGTGGTTCTAAGCAAAGCCTTAAATAGAAGACAACTGGGTTACACCCTCACCCTTCCACATACAAAACACCCTCCTGTGTTCTTCAGAATTGCACACACTCACACACAACGATTTACATCCCAATGCAGATTACAGCAAAGTATCTGCCATTCCCCTCTGCAACTTTCATTCTGCATTTTGGTTCCAAACCTTCATTGGAAACGATGATACCCAAAAACATGTAGGAAAATGTCACATCTGCCAAGTTAGCATTTCTGAAACCGAGGTTTGCTGTAGCCTCTACCAAACGTCAAGGGGGCTTTGTTCCGCCTAGACCCTGAGCCAGCTCTCCCTTTTGGTTGTGGAGACCCATCCTCCTCTTCACTTAATGAGTTTCACCTAGTCTAGCTGTTTGTGTTTTTATGAGAGATTTGTGAAATACTGACTACAAAAGGAAAAAAGTTCTTGCTTTGCATTAATCAGGTGGAATTCTATAGTAAAAACATTTTCTTTTAATGTTTCCCCTAATTTCAAGATGTGCACATATAAACTCAGTAAATCTTTGGGCATAGAATGTTAAGCCCTCTGCAGCAGTTACTTCTGGCCCGGGTCTTTTACTGCTTAAAGCCATGCCGAAAAGAAAAGGTATGGCTATAGTAAATACACTTTCAGAAAATATTGAATAAAAATTGTTTCTTCTTAACGATGACTTTATTTTTGACAGAGGTCATCAGTCTACGGGATTGTTATGGAAAAACATTACCAAAGAAAAAAAGTGTTCATGAAGATTCATTTTCCTTAAAATGTATTTCCGGGTGTTCTAGACTATAAGGTATTGTGTTTTTTGTAGGTATTGGGCTATAAAAAAATTATGGCAAACCATGTGGACTTTTAGAACATGTTTTCTAGAAGTAATTTAGAATTACGTATAGAATATAAACGAGCACTTTGACACATCAGTAATAGTCTTGTCTGCTTGGTTAACCTTTGTTTCTAAAGTCAATCTATTAACATGCAAAAACCCAAGCTGTAAGATTTTTCTGTAGGTTTATTGCACCATTCTTATACTAATATGTCTGCTGAAATTATTTCTTCTAATGTAAAATGTTTTTAAAATTAAACCTCATTTTCCAAAAATGCATTCACAGTCCTTCATTAAAGGGCGATTTCTTTGCTCCA